AACCTGGATCACTCTCACATTCTGCGCTGGGAAGGAAGCCAGGATCTGGGAATGGGCGCTGCCCAGAAGGGGCGTCGTGGGGGGCAGCGGGCCCATAACCGCCTCCATGTGGCGGTGGGGCCTCCAGGCCCAACTGTGGACAAGCTGTTTACCTTTGCCAAGCCTGAGTCCTTGTGGGGGCGACCCCTGTCCTCCTCCCCATCTCCCCACAGGGCAGGTGTGAGGACCGGGAAGGGGGGCGGGGCGTGGGCAGTGATGGACGTGCACTTTGTAAATTTCATCCCCCACGGTCTGCCCTAGAGGGACGTCCTCTCGGGGTCTAGTAAAATCCACAGGCCCCTTCCTTCCCCACCTTAACGGGCTCCTAATTTCCAGTTTGTAGGGATAGGCGGAGGGATCTGGAGGAGGCTCCCGACATCACTTCACTTCTACAGAGGTAAAGAACTTTCCCCGTCCCCGCTATCCTTCTTACCACACTAGGGTGTGACCCCAGGGCCACAGAGCCGTCTGACGCTGACCCCGGGGTGGGAGAGAGGACTGTGAGGTCAGCAAGTGGGGCTGTGGAGGGGCGTGGCTGGCATGTGCCCCGCCCCTCCCCTGGAGCCCCACCTGGCCCCTCCCCCTTCCCCTCCCACCCCATCCCCGGCCCCAGTCCTATCTGCTCCTGGGCTGTAGCTTGTGCCTCCTGTCTCCTGCAGCCTCCTGGAGAGAGTCCCTGACACCCCTGGTAAGGTGTACAGAAGAGCATCTGCTAGAGCCCCGCAGCCACGGGAGTGTGTGGAGGACACTGCTCCCTCTCCATCCCCGTTGGCTTCCCCGGAGCGCGTGGAAGACGCTGCCCCCGCCGCGCCCCCGTTGGCTTCTCTGAAGCGCGTGGAGGATGCTGCTCCCTCTGCATCCCCGTTGCCTCTCCCGGAGCGCGTGGAGGACGCTGCTCCCGATGCGCCCCTATTGACTTCGCCACCTCCTGTGATGGAGTGCCCTCTGCCTCTGACCTCCACCCTGTCACCAAGCCCGGCAGCCTTCTCAGGTACTGTGTGTTCGCGCTCATCCCTGAGTGCCTCC